CCAAGGTTCAAGATCATGCTAATGACCGGACACTTAAGCAAGGAAACCATGGTTTGACATGCAGTAGGTTCATAGTGGCCACACAGGGTAATGAGCTTGACCTTATCAGGGGATAAGCTCTGCTGTGTCCTAATCTGTGCACTGGGACAAGTCCTTGACCATCTGGGCCTCAGGTCATACAATGTGCCTCACTGTCCTGTACTGATGATTCAGTGAAATACTGAGTTGACATAAATGAAGGGTTAAAAAAATTTCCTAGCAAAATTTGCAGATCTTCAGTTAGCTGGGAACTATGGGGCTTTTAGACACAGAGCTGAGTAATGCTGGCTCTAGGGATGGACAGTATTTAAGGGTGTGAAATTAGATGTTCACTCGATTAGGGGCTGTCAGGTTTGGGGATGGTGGAAGCCACCAGACTCCCAAGATGCCTGCGCTACCATAATGCTCCTCTGCTCTGCTATGAATTTGCACATGGTCTCCTGCCAACTTTTGTCTTAAGAACCCCCTCCCAAGTCCTCTCTTCATTATGTTCCTTACAGCACTGTTTTGCATAAGAGTCTATTTCTTGGAAAAGCTCAACAGGGGAAAAATAGAACAAAAGGGACTCTGATAACTTAAGCATAGGCTATCTGAGTGGAACTGACAGGATATGGGGAGATGGGGGAGCCGGGATTGTGGGTGGGGTACATGTCTTTAAGGAGGGGCACAGACTGCAGATTTCTCCGTGATGGGCTAAAATCTCGCATAGATGGCCCAAGTGTAGGCATCTGGGAGTGAGGGTTACACGTGAAGGGCTTCTCCACCCTTGCCACGCATACTTGCCCATCTTGATAGCCCTCATCTCCTTGGCCTAGGGGAGTGAGGCTACCTTGTTTCTTTCCTTTTCTAGAGGAGGCAGGAGGATACCCCAGCCAGTCTTTACCTTTCTTCTTGTACTGTAACAGAGAGTGAAAGCTTTGAAATGGACTCTGCATGGGACGAATATTTGAGAGAATTTTTCTCCTACTTTCTCAGATCCCTTTTAGCTTCTAGTTTGGGTCTGTGTGAAACATTTAGCTGCATCAACTTGCTTGTGTGTGTATGTGTGTGTGTGTGTGTGGTAAGCTAACCCTGTGCTCTGTGTATAGGGCTGTACTTTCCAAATTTCTGAGATGCTGGTGGCATTGTGGTGAAATTTGGGGCTCCAACATTGTCAGTCTTACAAGGGAGTAGAAGGCTGGTGTTGAGAAGCTACCTCTTTACCAATGTGTAGGCTTTGAGATCTGGTCTTCTGTGTAACATGGGTACCAACTACCTGCTCTCACAGGCATGTGCTCACAAGTGACCGTTAGATGGCGCTCTAACAACAGGAAAATAAACCTGCTGGCTGGTAAAGATTTCCCGAAACCTTTTCCCAGAGTTCTGATCAACTGCTGATTTTCCACATTTCCATTTGTGGGTCTTTAAGAGCACAGTGGGATTAGGGACACTGGAAAGACAATGCCCACTAATGTTCCTTTAGAAGAGCATATAGCAGTGAGGTGATCTTGCCTTTTTCCTAAGGATCCTGAATCTTGAGGGCAGTGAAGTGTCCAGGCTAAAGGCCTCCCTGTATAGTCTGAGGAACATCTGGACACAGGTCAAGTTCAATATGAGGGTGTCAGTATAGCCTCCGCATAGGCTTACTGTGATTGGACAGTTTTTTCTGTTGATGAGGAACCATTTAGAATTATACTAGTCCTGCTCTGAAGAGATTAGCCCAAATATTAGAAAGAGCCCAAAAATCAGCTCTGTGAGCGGTCCATACTCTGCCTTTAATCAGATGTGGACAGACTACTGCACATTTATGAAAATTCCTGCTTTGTCCACCAAATCAGGGTCATTGATAATGGTTGCCAGGTTGGACTTCAAGGGTTTAGAGTGAGGTTTATGTAACTGAAAACTAACTAACACACACAGAAGACACTGTTCAACCATTAAAATTGTGGCCCTTTTAGAAGCTGGGAGAATGGGGGGAATGGGAGAGCAGGAAGGAAGTTCTTAAATCTGAAAGTTCTCAAGCTGGGCCAGTCAGGCAGGGTCCCCCCACCAGGGTTGCTGCTCTTGGGCCAAGTCCATATAGAAGCCACTTGGATCACCATTTTGGCCTTGGGCAGCACCCTCCAAGAATGCCCAGTTTAGCCCCCTGTAGATGTGCTGTCCTCCAGTGAGCCCTCACACTTCCACAGGCAGTATCCTGTCTTGGGGGGGTCTAGGTGTTTAAAGAGGGACAGCAGCCGGAGACCACAAGACACTGCAGAGAAAGCATAGGAATGAGAACTAGCTCTCCTGAGGGGATGCCACTGAGGCCTGAGTCAGGGTTCTGGACCTTCCAAGAACCTCTTCTGAGAGGTAAAATGTTGGTGTGCCTTGCCTGTCTTGGGCATTAACACGGGGGAAGGAATGAAGTGACATTCAGGGAGTGTGGTCCATTCAGCATTCTAGCCAGCAAGGTTATTACTTGTAATTTAGTATAAGAAGGGAGTACTTTATTTTTGTCATCATCTATTTTGTTTATTATACCCCGAGTGCCTAATACAGAACCTGGTGTGACATATCAGTGATTTGAATACATTTTGTGCTATGGAGTTCTGCCTAAAAGCAACAACATGGTTATAATTGTTTCTGAAAGTTCTTTCTAATCATCTTTAGTTCACAGGGTTACTGAGACAGTTGACTTGTGACTAGTTCTAAATGCTGATGGGCTGGTGGACTTCATGGCCTATAGGGCCACCTTTTCTTCCACTCTGACTAGACATGCAGTCAGAAAAGGCCCGTCTGATGAAGGCAGGTGGAAAGACAGTAAGGTGAAATCAAAATGTGAGTTAGAGCCGACTCACCTTAAACAGTAATTGGGCCTGAACTGGTTCCCCTGAATCAAAAGGTCAATATACCATCCTCAAGGGCAGAAGAGCCTGCTAGAGGGAAGAGAGGCTGAGACTTGGATTTCCAGCACTCACTGCACTAATTTATTCACACATACGCATACGCTCACATGCTTTGGCGTACAAAAAAAAAATCTGTGTAAGATATCACATGGCCTTACCACTGGGACACATACAGGTAGGAACATACCTGCTTCTTGGACATTACCGCTTTCTCACCACTTGATCCCACATTGACTTTCATGCCCTGCGAGTGACCCACACCCATGATTTTCAACATCTGGTCAATCTGTTTCCCTTCCTAGCTCCTCTCCCTGCTCATCTCCACCATCTCTCAATGAAGGCACTTAGGAAGGACAGTGTGTCCTGGTCAAGGCAGGAGACAGCAGAGGAAGGTGTGGAGTTGGAAGGGGACAGCGGCATCCGTCCTCAGTTGAAACCTGCAGGAAGGGCTTGGTCGCTGAACCCCAAGGGCTTTCTTTGGAGCTTATAGTCTAACTTTCCCCTTTCTGTAGCTCTGGTATGGAATTGTTTTTCTTCATTAAGGGGTTGGGTTTCTGGAAGTCAATGGAACTGACTAAGGGGTAACAGAGGAGGGAGGACACCTCTGTTAGGATTTTGTGAAAGGGTAGTTTAAGCCCGAACTTTCTCCAGAGCTCAGATATCTGGGCCATCCTTCCAGAAGTAGATCACCCTTCTAAGAGTGAATGTACCGTGTTCTGCTGAAAGCAAACCCCCAGAGGCTGCCCTAGGTCTCCCCATTTGGACAGGGAGGTAGATGATTGCCTGCAGCTGGCACCCAAAGCAGAGAGTATGCAGCCCGCAGAAGTCCTTGCCTTTCCCTAGGCCTCCAGATGGCTAAGTGGGGAGAAGGTGCTGCTGTCTGCAGGGAACCCTAGGGCAGCATCCATGGCGCCTGGGCGGAATGGGGGAGTGGCTACCCGGCCCCGGTGCGCCATGCACTGGGCGCTCAGGCCTCGACTTGGCTGCAGGGCGGCGGCGGACCAGGCACAGCGCCTCGCACCCCAAGGAGCACAGCTCGGGTGGGCATCCTTAGGCAGGGACGGCAGGCGCGAGTGCGTGCGCGCGCCCCCGCCGGGCCCGTTCTCTTGCGGAGACTCCGCGGCGCCACCAGCTGTGCCCGCCTCTGGCCTCTCGGCGTTACTAGCGGACCTTGGCCACTCACCCCTCTGGTCACGGACGCCCAGCCGCCAAGCTAGCTTCGCCCCCAGCACCTCCAGCCCAGGCAGGCCGGGGTCCTTCCGGCCCCGTCCCCGCCCCCCCGCATCCCCCCCGAGAGCCAGCCCGCCAGACATTCTCGTGGACGGCTGCCTGAGCTCTCGCGATATCTCGCCCCTCAAGCAC